GTGGTGAGTGATATCAGCGTAATATACTCTACTGATCCTTGAGCCTTCTTTTGAAGATAGATGGACAAGTCGAAATGCTCAGTGAGACTGAAATAATGGATACCTTCTTTGTCTGCATTGCTGGGTCTTTGGCCCTTGTCCCATCCTTTTTGGATTTCCACCACATTCGGATTGCTGCGCATATCTGGTCCAACAATGGGAATTCTGGATCGGGATCCCCAAACGGTCCTTGTCGTTTTCTTATTGAGACCAGTCTTTTCCACATAAACGACAAATTTGTTTGTTTTGCACCAAGGACAAGGAGTCAAGACACCAATCCTCCCACTACTGGAGTCTTGACGGCGGTATTCTGGGAATTTCAGAAGAATATCGCGGTGAAATACGTCGGGCCAACAAATGAGGATTTGTGTGTCCACAGGTACCTCAAACTCACTAGCTGCCTTTTTCATCGAGACTTGATCCCATTGTGGATCGATTCCCTGGAATTTACTAGTATGCAAGTGTTGTCTGGCTCGTATTTCAGGTGTTGTCACGTGATGAATGAATCCATGAGGAAAGAATTTCGCAAAGTAGTCATCCAGTTCTGCTCCATCAGGAACGATTTGACGATTCTTTCGTGCAGCTCTGCCACAGGAACCGGGCTTTGAATTCCTGAATACCTGACCAGTTTCATCCACACAGGGAAACCAGTCGCTCCGGTACATTCTTCGAAGGTACCGGTCAATTCCAGAAAGAGACCCATCTCTATCGGGTGGCTCCATTTAAATGCGATTTGATCCGACAAAGCGTTCTTCTGGCCTTTCTCCTGGGAGGTTCCTGGGAGGACATGCGTATAGTAGCTAGTGCGTAGTATGCTCAACAACACTCCATTGAGGTCTCGAGAGTGCGTTGATATTGTTTTGCGGTTTGCGATGGTGACTTTTTGGGTTGGTGGTGGAAGATACCGCACCGGTTGGCCTCGGACGACGGGAACAGGCAGCTCTGCTGTTTAACCAGCAGTGGGTGCCACGGCTATCACGGTTAAAATTCAACGTATCGGATGCAACGAACGAGTGGGATATTCATTAAGTAGCTAGCAAACTAGTACTGACCTTAGCTATTTTTTAATACTCTTTGATTTGATTATCTATTAGTCATGTAGACGCTGATGCTAGCTAAAAAGGGACTTCTGAGCAGGCAGTGGCTCCGTCTCTCCAAAGAGATGTGTGCCTCTGCAAAGCTAACATTCCATGTCTTCATTTTCTCCCCACTTTGGCGGTTGCATTATTTCCTCATCATTACATGAGTTTCTTTTTCTTGAAATACCTCTTCAAATAGGTGACTTGTACATAGGTAACACCCAGCAAGATGACCCCGGAAACCATGGAAAAGTACTGCACTCGTTGATTGATGCTATCGGCAGTGTGACGCATTCGTTCCTCCCTATCCGTCATGTACTTCATTTCTCGCAACACAGTATTGGCCGCTTTGATGCTCTTTTCCAGCGATTCCTCCAATGGACTGAGGTGTTTTTCCTTGACGAAATTGGGTTCGTTCGAGTCTTGCTCCTCGGGATCGCCATTGAGCATGACAATATCCATCACCACTTGGACAGATTCGTCCTCATTTTCCTTGTTGTCAAAACAAATGCTGTATCCACTAAGGTCTTCATCATCATCCGCACTGACTGGCAGAACCTTTTTGTGGGCTTCTCGAACCTTGTTAATGACACTTGGACTGAAGAACTTGATCGGCAAAACTCGCGAGGAAGGATCCGCCGCCGAGTCCAATGAGACGACAACTTTGAGTTTGGCGGTAACACCATCGGTGCGTCCTTGCAGGAATTTGTTAATGACATCTTTCAAGTCAGAGGGTGGATTTGCTGGTAACTGGGTCGGCAAATTCCCTCCGGCACTTCGTTGGTTGGACATTTCGATGATTTGTTCGACCACCCAGTTTTCCATATGGGCGCCACCATCTTTGCTATTTTCGGATACTTCTTCCCCAAGAGGCAGGGCCAAAAATACCAAATGAGCATCATCGTCTTCCGGAATGTTGAATTTAAAGCATCTTTCTTGCTGCTCGGATACCTGCAAAATCAATGGGTAGCCCCAGCTGCCTTGCCAACAACAGGCCAATGATAGCAAGAGCTGTAGCAATAGTGCTGATGATCGGTGTAAGGGATTCATGGCTTGCTAGTTAGTATTCCCTAGTAGTGGACGAAAGAGGTGGGCCGAGTAGTAATTCAAGAGAAGAGGTCGGAGGCGACAGGTGCGGCCATGGTCGGCTGTTGCATGTGTGGCGTAAGGAATAAGATCCAAGCTTTTAACTCCAGTACGGGTAGGGCTAAGTTGCTCGAATAGAGAGAATTCGATTCCACTCGAATTCAATCCAAATCGATTCGATTCAATTCGGCAACAATCTCCTCCACGCTCTGCTCCTGCGCTCCGATCACAACATTTTTTCTTCGTTCCCCCCCAGCTACCGGTAGCTAGACAAAGCACATGTACATCAGGTAGTAGCTGCTTGTGCTGGCTGCAGCATCAGCTGCTGCTGCTGCTCAGGAGCGTTTTCAACTACTGCTATCGTCTTACCATGTCAAGGAGGTTGCAGCAGGCAACCCAGTCGAACCTCTGGAAAGCGTGCCGGTACTACCGGTAGCTAGGACCAGACTACATTGCGAAGAAGTGGACACCAAGGAAAGAGAATGAAGCAGTGGATCGGGTGCGTGTTGCTGGGCTGAATTTGGCTAACAGGGGCGCAAGCGCTGGCTACATAAGGACAACACGACGACCTCACCAAAATTGTCATTGCACATGAGACCAGCACCAGGCATGTTTCGAATTGACCGTTGGTTGGGGGCTGACAGAAGTGCGCGAAGACAAATCGGTGCACCACACTCCTCATTCATTCCATTCGCCAAATTGTTTGTTCCAAAACATCAATCAATGTTCTGAAGTCTGACCCCCAAAACGCCTTGGAGCAAATCTACCCTCCCGATGTAACATCCTTTCCCGTGCACACTGGTGTCCCCTTCTGCGATTGCAGTACATTCGAATGTCCAACACCCAATTCTGTCCCCGATCCTCCCGGTGGACTCGTAGCATCCGTTTGTCCACTGGGATAAGTGCCAGCGCTGCAAATTGCTTGTTTGGGGGTTGCATGAGCTCTGCATCAATCTCGAATTTGCAGTCTAGCTAGCGTACTGCATGGCCAAGAACAACCACCAAAATAGCTTGCATTCTATTAGTAGCTTAGAATTAGTCGCATTCCCCATGATAGTACTGCAGGAACACTCCTTAGCTCAAGGGATTCCCTCATCATAACCACCACCCTGACGGTTGCACGAGGGTTTCATACCGTACATAGATTGATTCCAACACCAAAACCACATACTCTCACCACCACATTACACGTAACCTGTTTGGTTTTCAAACAGCCTTCATCAAACTTCTCAGTCCGTTTGCCGCCACAACTGTCAGGCTGCAATGATGCATATCGTTTGCATCACCAGCTTTCTTCTCTTCCATGCCACTGGCACTCTCGTCCATGCTGCTTGCACTGCTGCGACGACGGTTCGCGCTCTTCTGCAGAGCGTACTTTTCCTTTTGTCGGTCGCGGCAACGCAAGCACTTGGTGGCAAGAGACTTGTCGCCGAAGTGACACCAAGGACGGAAATTCTTGCATCCCTTGCACCACTTGATCTCCATCGCATCCAGCTCCAACGCGACCCAGACGGTCACGTCACAGGCGGTGCAAACACCCTTGTTTTGGCGTGGAATGATATGATTCGAGCCAGAAGCATCCGCCGACGAAGGATCCTCGGGGAGGCTAGAAGCACTCTCGGCACTGGCTTTTTTGGCACGAACATAGGTAGCTGAGACGCGCAATTGGCCGCACATGACACAACGTTTCTTGCCGTTAGCACAACCACCTTCCCCGTCACCGCCCCCAGAGTTGCGGCCCTTGATCAAGAGATCTGGAAAGTTCACGAGACGGTGGAAGTCAGGAAGGATCACTTCTTTGTTGATTTCGGCGTCACTGAAGAGAACGTGGCAAGAGAGATAATCATATAAGAACTACTGTTGACTCGGTGAATGCGGTTGGAATGCGTGCAATGAACTTACCTCCAGTATTTGGATGGCACTGGCGGATTCAATGGAATGCAGCGCCTTCCGTTTCCAGCAGCGTCAGCCGCTGGTTCCATCACTGAAGCCGATGGAGACTTTCTGGCCTGACTTGTGGCGACCGTGGGGCTGGGCGCAGAAGCCGCTTTTTGCTCAAAAACATGCTTTGGTCTCTGCTGTTCTGGAGAAAAGGAGGAAGGTGATGGAGACGGGGACTCAATCCTTGCCCTGGCATAAAATGGAGGAATGACAGCAAAAGCTGGTCTTCCTCGGGCAGACATGCTTCGAGGATGATACATCGATGGGACGTGGACAGGCGAAGGCATACCTGCGGGGAAAGGTCTCATGCCATGTGGGTGTGGGTATGCCACGTATGAACCGTGAAGACCAGGTCGCAATGGAGGCATTGGAGGACCATATGACCCATTCGAAAGGGACCTCCAGGGGATGGATAAGGACGATGGGGCGAGCCAGCCATGACTCGGCTATGATCAGGAGAGAGACTTCCTTCCACACTGTAGGACATTTCATCGTCATATTCAGCCTTGGGGTACTCATTCGACGACGCTGGGGAAATGATTCTTTGCTTTTTCGGTGATCCATCATCTGAAAACGAAAACGCAGTCTTCTCCACTGCAGCAGCCGATTCAATGGCCGCCTTGGCCTCGTCAGTAGTCGATTCTTCTTGTGATCGTTGGCTGGCTTCGCTGATGGCTGCAGCAGACTCTGCGAGGGCTTCGAGTGAACTTTTTGGTCTTGCATCTTGCTCAACAGACTCGTCGCAATTTTCAGGGCTTACGGCTGTCGCGTGAGGGTCTAGACGCGGCTTCTTGAGGATCGACTTTGGTGGATAGCCCAAAGACACTCTCTTGGGTGCAGGTGAACGCCTTTCAAGTTCTTCATCATTGGCTGAACATTGGCGTGCCATGAACATTGGAGGAATAGGACGTCGGAAATGAGGTGGAAGAGAGGATGGGCCAACGGCACGTGGATGAGGATGATAAGGAGGACGGGGAGGAGGAGGCCCGGCCCACATTGGGAAACCGCCTCTTGGCGCCCCTCTTCGCATGAACCTGGGAGAGTGTTCAGGTGGTATCGGGCTAACGCCTGATGGAGCACCTGCCATGCCTTGTGCATAAACAGAATGGATTCCCGGTTGACGAAAGAATCCAGTGAATCTTGGAGGATGGCCACCAACCATAGCCCAGTGTGGGCTCATGCCAGGAGCTGCTGGTGGGACTTCGCGTCCCTCTTCGTGTTGATGTTGGTGCATCGGTGGTACAGCTGGGGGTGATGCTGGAGCGGCATCCACTACAGTGCTGCCCTCTTTGGTTTCGTCCCTAGTAGCAGCAGGAACATCAACCACGACATTGCATTTTCCGTGCTCTTCGGCCAATGCAGCCAGAGATAGCAGCCTATTGGCGGCGCTCTCTGCCGCCTTTACTGGGCACTCAGCATCGTCTTGATCGGCATTGATGTTTTTGGAGCATGCTGAGACACTCGATACGGTGTCGCTGTCCGTCGCTTCATTTCCGTGCAGATGGGGCATCCTTGCTTTGCTATTGATTGCTGATGGCTGATCAGAGGTACGAATCCAAGAAGAAGAAGAGACAGATATGGAAGGAGAGAAACTTTATCAATGGAGTGTCATTCGTCCAATGTGTGGATGGGACTCTTGCAGTAGGCAAAAGCTATCGCTGGTCTGCTCATCGGCCCTTACTTAGGCCAGAGGAGAGTCTAACAAAACAAAATTTCGGCCAAAACAGAATATCTCATTTCCTTGGCGGCAGCACGACCCAGGATGGTATTTAGGATTCACTGCGCTCCTCTCTGCATGGTTACTTAGCCATCACTTTCATCACTTAGATCTAAATACCGTAGATACTTAGACGACCGATGCGGGCTCTAAATTTGGCGTAGCCAACGTGCAAAACGATGAAAATTGTGCTTGCTCTCAAAATATTTGTGGGCTCAACTGAAACAGGGCGCAAGTGTCACAGGGCGAAGCTGCACTACAGTATGGTTCCTTCGAGAGTTTTCCAGAATGTTCTTGTTGTCCTTGGATTTTTGGCCTTCTCGTGAGTTAGCCTCAAAATTCGGAGGACAAGTCTTGTGGGTTAGCGAGCAGCACAACTGGAGACGTCTCTCGTCACAAGAGCTGTCTCTCCGGGTCTGTTGGGTTGGAAACTTTTTGATGGAGAGCTTCAGTTGCGGTACTGTACGGTATGAGTCCATATAGATGCTCGATCGACGCACTTCTGTTTTCGTCTGTGTACGTCTGTGTACGAGGGGGTTGCCAACTCTGACTACCACCAATGACAGCGACGAGGCATGCTTCATCATGTGAAGGTCGGATCCTGACCCAATTTCGGTGTTCGTGTACAGAGTGAATATTTCGATGATGCCGACCGAGAAGGGGCCTGTACCGTACGGTACAGTACCTCTTGGCTGGGATCGCAGGAAAGCGAGGTGCAATCTTTATCGGTACCGGTAGTAGTGGCACCGGTACGAGTATTAATTAACAGAAGGCATGGAGCATTCTTGATCTTCAAGCACTTTATCACCTGAACGATCCAATCACCGCCTACGGTACCGCAACTGAAGCGCACCATCAAAAAAATTTCAATCCAACAGACCGTTTTGGTTACGACGTGTTTTGGTAACTTTGATCTCGCCAGATGATAGGCTCACAGGGGAGCTACCGTACCGGTATGGGAGGACAGTGATTGAATTACAAACAGGTACCTGGTACTGAAACTCAACTTGCGAGCAACCCGCTGATGGTTCCGCGCTCTGGCGTACAGTACTCTACTCTAATTTTTCTTAAAATAGCTTACGGTGTGCAACTTGCGTAGGAACAGGGTACCAGGAGCCCTTCATACCCACATCCATGCCGACTGATGTAAAATACTCTCGCATGTACAATACTCTCCCGTTACCATCCGGGTCCACGAGTCTTGCCATCGTCGAAAGTTGCTTAAATTTGACCTGCCTTGCGTTTCTTGCCAGTGGTCGCTTGCTTCTGCAAATCGGCCAGAGTGGACTCGAAACGATGTTCCAAGGTCATGTGGTTGTCGGGTCCGAGTCCAAGACAGGCACGCATAACATTGATGATTGCCTGGCGTTGCGTGAAAAGAGCATTGACGACAGGTGCACCGTTGGGGACAAGCGGGGCTTTCAGCATGTATGAAAGAAGAGAAAGGACTGGGTGGAATGTTTCCCAGTTTTTGCTACCCTCTTTCTTCATGGTGATACGTTCACACAGCTCACCCAGGATCACCAAATCATAGATCAAGGGAGTGGCCAACAACGAGTCCTCACAAGTGTTGTGCATGACAATCGTGTTCTTTCCACCCATGAAAATCTCGGACGTGTATTCATCCATGGCGCGTTTGGAGTCAGCCACAGTGGGCACGTACTTGATGACAACAACATGATCAGGGTGCTCGTCCTCTTCAAAAAGAAGACGGTTGGACGCAACCATGTCATCCACCACATTGGACTTGGAAATCTCTTTGCTGCGGAACTGACTTGGAGCACTGAGATTACGACCGTCATTGTTACCAAGATGATTGTAGGACACGATACTGACGGGCTTGATACCAGCTGAGACGAGGAAGTCCACCAGAACCGATTTCATTTTGGTCTGGCCACTTTTGAAATCGTCGCCTGCGATAAAGACTTTCTTTTCACGAGCCAGCTCAATGACGCCAGGCACAAAGGTGTTCTGCGGTGACCCATTGATGAAGGTACATCCCTCCAGAATAGAAGCCACGGCAAAGACTGTGGAGGAACTGACTTCTTCCTCACCACGCTGGATACTTTCCAACAAGTTTTCTGCCGTGTCGTTGACGCCTTCTTCCACACTAGCGAAGCGTTCGGTGTTGGCCGTCCAGAGAACAATGACCTTGTCGACCTTATTTGTTGACTTGAAATCCTTGATTTGTTTCTGTAGTTGCTCCAACTGTTCCTGTTTGGTTCCCGTCAAGACATTGTCGGCTCGTTCGCTTTGGTTGGCAGCAATAAAGTCTGGGAAGTAAACCGATGGCAAAGGCTTGATCTCCTTCATATGAGGATAGAGCTTTTCCTGGAGATCGTACTCCAAAACTTTGGCCCTTTTCATGGCGTCACCAAGATTCATGCTATTGATGTCCCAGCCTCCCCAGACGATTTCATCTGGTTCGATCATTGGAAGCATGTTTTTCAAGGGAGTATACACCGCATTTCCACTAGCATCATTTCCAAGCTTGACAGTGGAAGCCAGCATGACACTTCCCCAGTAGTTTGATTTCTGCACTCCTTCTTTGGTGTTCCAAGTCAACTTCATCTTGTTGGCAAGAGCAGCGGCAACACATGTACTGTGATGTGGAGCACAAAATTGATTCCACAGTAATATCAAGAACAATGTATGGTATGAGTATTGTTTTCTTTTCGCCATACTCCAATGATTCTATAATAAACAACTTACCTCCCATTGTTGCCTCCCAATCCAACCAACATCACTCCAACCTAAGAAAAGACCTCTGATTGTGAGTTTCTATGCCATCATTGATTGATTGATTGATGATCATCAAATAGAACAACTTTTTAAAATTCGACAGTACATACCTTGGGAACCTTGGTCTCGGTTTTGAACTGCATCTTTGTGGAGACAGGCTTGACGGTGTTTCCCTCGACCATTGTGGTCTCATAGCTGATATCATGATTTCACCGAAGACATAATAAACTTTGTTGTTAGTTCAACAAAAAATGACAATGTCGAAAACTGAATTCCAGAGCAATTAGGACTCACGTGTAGTCACTGATGATAGCATCTTTAGTGTATTTGCAGTTGGCAGACTCAACCTTGAAGGGTCCATCGAGGTTGAGGTAGCTGCTCATGGTGATAAGATAATAATGGGTATCTCTTGGACGAATAGAATGGGATGGAAAACTATCGAAACAGCTTAGAGTTGTGTGCGAGGAGTTACTGCACTGATGCTATCTTTTAACAGTCAATCTGGGCTGTGGAGCAGTGGCGAAGAGTGGATGGCTACCAATGCTGGTAGTAGGTAGGCTTCTTATTATTGTTGTGATCGGAGAGGGAGCTCTTGTGTGGACGGCTGATGTGCTCTTCGCCAACCCGTCCCACCGGTCCAACTTGAACATCAGCTAAATTGCTTCATGCAAAGCTGCGCTGCTGGCTTTAAATTTAATTCGTGCATCCATCAAGGTCACATACGTTTATTTCTGTCACGTAGATTCGGCTGTAGATTTTGTACCGTACCTTTCGTCTACCAACCGAAGATGAATGAGGCTTCTGATCGAAAAGATGAGGTAGCTCAAGGCTACACTTTCAAATTCCGGAGCATCCTGTTCTGTTGTTGTTGGAAGACAAATAAGTAAGTAAGTAAAGTTGACCATGTTGACCCAGAACAGCGGTGATCTCCGCAAGGCTCGGTCGAACCATTGGTTCTTTGCCTATGATCCTATTGCTGTCGCTGCTGGAGGAGCCGGTGGTAATAGTATTATGATGGCTCCAGGAGTTCCGGATACAACTGCCCCATTCAGTTGGAGATCCTACGGATACTACTTTGGATTCCTCGGTGCCGCCGTACTGTGCTTGTACACCCAGATTGCGTTTGTCCATCCGGTCTATCAATCTTGGCACGAGGCGTCTCTGGAAGCCTTTGGCTTTCAGCACATTATGGCCCGCAGTCAACACGAACGCTTGGCTCGCAAGTTCCACGCCAAGGCAACCTTTGACCTCCTGCAAGGATACAAGGCCCGCATCCATGCGGCCCACGGAATCCACGAGTCTCAACAAGATGCCCAGAATGCCACGCAAATGTACCAAATGGCCAAGCAGGCGTGGGAAGACGCCAAAGCGGACAAACGGAATGCGACCGTGTTGGGAAATCTGGCGGACGACGAACATCAATTGTACCTTCAGTATCTTGCCGAAGCGAGTCAAGCCGAACAACGGGCCCAAGAATTGGAAGAAGAAGCTCAAACATTGAACAATCAGAGTGAATACTACCACCATCTAGTGGACAAGTTGAATGCCATGCTCGAACAGGATTCGACGCTGGAGTCAAGCTATCTGGCGAATGCCACACTAGAGGGTGAGGAGGCAGATAACATTACTCTGGCCGCGCAAGAGAAGAAAGATAGCAGTTGGATTTGTCGATGGTCCGTGACACGCCATCTACTGTGTGGACCTGTGGGTGGAATGACGGCACTGGGAGATGCCGATGCGTTGCGACAAGAGCAAGCGGAAGATTATCGGCGGGCCATGGCAATCCAAAAGCAAATTCTGGTCGAGAAGACCAACGCAATGATTGCACTCACCAAGGCATCCAAGGCGGAAGAAGACGCTCGGTTGGATCACCTCAAGGCAATGCAAAGTCATAATGAGTCGCTCGCTGACAAAGTCAAAGCGTCCGAAGAGCACGCCCTGGAGCTGGATGACTTGCAGAAAAAGTTGGAAGAAATGAAGCTTGTGCAACAACACATTCATGATTTGGAGTACTATCAAGGCCTGGAAGTAAAGCTAGAAATCAAATCGAGAAAGGAAAACGAATTTGCCCATGGTCAGTGGAGACTGGGAACTTCGTTAATCCAACAGTCGGAGAAAGAAGAGGAACGAGCCAAGGTGGAGTACGATCTTGTCCAAGAGGAAGAAGAAGCACAAAGCCGTCTAGTGATAACAGTCCGCCAAGCGGGACGCCTACTCCGGTGGACTTCCTTTTTTGCAGCTGTCTATGCCCTGGTTGCCTTTGGCTTCTTCATCAAGGCACTCACGACATCCAACAGTGTATCGTTGCCACATCAGCTCCGAACGGTGGCAGTGGCGGTCTCGGTGACTGTGGTGCGTCGCTGGGATGGTCGTCATATGTGGGAAGGTCGCAGCATATTGGGAGACTCTCAAGATCGCAACTGCCTGCGCCAAATTTCTTGCTGGTGCCATCATGGCTTGATCTTTTTGTTTGTGGTCGGCATGCAAGGCTGGCAGTTGCACGGCATCTTTGATGTCGACTCCCTTGGCTTGCGTGGTGGACTGGTGCTCAAGTTTGCACTCACTGCGGCGCTCATGGAGACGGTGCTATTCCAAGCAGTTCCACATGCTGCCGTGTTGCCCCGATTGACCAAGGAATACTTTCGCGATGTCGCTATCCGCTTCCTCTCGTCGGCCTGTCGATTCACTGTGCAGATGCTACTGTTCTTGATTTTGTGTGGAGAAGGATCCACATGGCTTTTTGGATGGATTGCATTCCTCAACCACACCTTTCCATTATGGGGCGTGCTGTTGGTTGGCACCGTTGTGGCACACATGATGCACATCGAATTCCCACATGTCTGCGACTTGGACAGGAACAATGGAGCATTGAGTGAAGTGACCTTCACCACCTACACCACGTGCGAGGACCTTACGTCGTACAGAGACTCTCGAGTTGGCAGCTATGCCTCAAACTCCTGGAGTCCTTCCAAACAACTTTCCGAGACGGAAAAAGGCAAGAAAAAAGGCACTTTTGCGATCCTTTCTCCAGCCAACATCAGCTCTGCTGAAGACGAAGCGGAATCTCTCTTGACGGTTTCAAGAGCTGATGTTCCTGTCTCGTCGGCGCTATCCTCCATGTCTTCCTACACCAGCATACCGATGAATGATTCCGGTACCAGTACTTCCGGCGAAGGCACCGCCCCTGTCTCACTTCCATCACCAGCGCTTCAAAGGCTTTATGAAGTTTCCATACAGGACGAATTCTTCGCCATCCTTGCCTACGTGGAACTGATCCTTCTTGTGGGTATTATGCTCGTCGTCTCTGCTGCGATGCCACAAATCTTTCATCGGTAAGGAAGGGATTATACAACGGTATCTCAAAAACCGTCACAGGCGACTATTTGCACGCTGATCTATCGTACCGGCTTTCTAGTCTGAAAGCCGGAGCTGCTAGCACATCTACTAGGAGACAAAAAACGAATGTTTCAAAGCACCCAAAGTACATCTCGGAATGACGTATGTTTGAGAGGCTAATATTTCCCATTAGTCTATACTTCATGCGGCCACAATGTAGCATTGTCAGCATAGTACCATGAACCCGGGATTGAAATCGACTGGCAGTTGTTGAGAATTCCCGTCACCTTTGAATGGCACCGTGCCATTGTCGTTGCTGCTTTGTCTTTGGAGACGATAAGGAGCATCCTAGCGTTGGTCTATCGATTTCGCACATAGCACCAGATAGTTGGCTCTGAAATTGTAGGTTCAGGTCCTACTGGGGAAGCTGCGTTGTCATTTCCATATCCAGCAAACAGCGGTGAATGGGGGTCCCCTGCAATTGGCACGCCACTTCTGTTTCCGTCCTTGCTCGAGGAGGCAACAGAGGCTTTGCAGACCAACCATGTCCCTCAGCACGTTCTCCGCCCATGCTGATCCATTCCAAGTTGCGCAGTGTCTGTTGTTGTTGCTGCTCCGCATCATCCTCGTTTGGCCCAAAGTGGTCTAGACATGCCACAGAATGAGTGATCGCCGCAACCTTCATGCCGTGTTGCGTCACGGCTCTATTTCGAATCGTCACGGCGACATCTTCACAATTGGATTGGATCAAGAGTCTTGCACAACTCTGCGACATGATGCTTGCCACCTTGCCCAAGAGGTCATCATTGACCATGAATCCGGAACTGAAATCTTCTGGCAGTTGAGAATTACCGTCACCTTTGAATGACACCGTGCCATTGTTGGTGCTGCTTTGTCTTTGAAGACGATAGGGAGTGGGAAACTGGATCATGATGAGTGCAATTTGTGCTTGTTTGTTCTCCGCTATAATGGCATCCAAACACTCTTCGGCGGTTCCCCAGCTGTATGCCAACGTCTCTTGTAATCCCCATCGACTGACAATCCCTGTTGCGAATTGAATGGCTAGTTGACTCAAATCAGCCCCCCAAAAGTTGTACCTTGTGTTGATTGCAGAAGAAGTACTACCACTGTGGACGTCTCGCAACAACAGCAGTTCCTCTTCGTTGTCCTCGTCAAAGGTAGACGCCAAGCCCAACAGGGAAGTACCAAAGCCACATCCCAGGTCTACCACCAACGGCCGACTGGGGTCTTGAAAGGCCGGCAAGGATACAGCAGGTCTGGGAGGAATATCAGAGTCTGGTAGTCGTGAATTGTCATTGTCATTGTCATCGCTGTCTTGTGGTTGGTTCTTGACCTTCCGTTGTCGAGCTGAAAACCTCCACAACCACAACAATGGTCGCGGTGACAACAGGTCCAACAAGGGGGGAGATTCCAGACTCTGAAGAATGGCATCATTTTCACTGCCGACTTGTTCTTCTTTGCCCTTCAAACAGTCTGCTGCCACTTGGTACAATGGCTCCAATCCTCGCGTCCCTGCCGCGGCATGTTTTTCCACAATTTGGAGTATGTACCGTGCCTGAAAGGTCGGTCGATGTCCCACTCGCAGTAATTCGTATTGGGAAATGGCCGCCAGCGATTGGAATATTTTGTTGTGGTGAACAGCACCCGACAGTGCCAGGGTAAAGGCGGCATCCGCCGACGTGCGACCCCGAAGATCCATTCCCATGGTCCAGGACAGTTGTTCTTGGAGGGATTGTATGTGTGCATGGATGCTATCTTGTGGGACGGGCACTTGGCGTTCCGAAGCGTCCGTCACCAAGTCCAAGATTTCATTGGCAATTTGCAAGGTACTTTGGGGTGGAAAGTGTGGTGATTGTGGCGGCAAGATGCTCTGTCGTGTACTACTACAGTCAAGATCACGATCGATGGGCACAATTTCCCATTCAAGAGTTTGGTTGTCCTTGCTATTATCATTTCTGTACTCGTAGACAACCAATTGATATCCCTTCTTGACCACAAAATGAGCAACGGTCTGGATCATCCCAAGACTCTTCTGTCCATCATCATTAGTGGATTGTTCTTGTGCGCGATGAATGGCTCGTTGTAGCACATGATAGGATTGAGGTGCTGGACTGTTTAATCGCTGTAGAATGATATCCAGGCGAGCTTCCTTGCAGGGATTGACGTCTCGGGACGAAATGGTTTGTAGAACACAAAACAGTTCTTCTTCCCATGATGCATACTGATCATGGCAATAATGAGACGACTTGGCAGCTGTGAAGGGAGATACATCCAAATCACTTGTTCTGGGTGTTGTAGAGAAGGCAGATGTAGACAGCCATATTCTGTTTCGGTGGTGTCTTTGATGCAGAGGTCTTCTATTAAAATGCAGATTCGGGTGTGTCCAAAAACCAGAACATTGAGGTCGGATTCCTGTCAAGTGGTGTGGCTGTGTAGTCAGAAGGGCCCACGAGATTCTTCCGCTACTGCAAGCAGCCAATGCCAGGGCAGCCACCCGCATAGTGGACGAGGACGATGGTAAAGTCCGGTATCTGAAGTTGAGTTGCTTGTCCAACGGAATGTTTTCTTGTTCATCATATTTGTGATGGTTCCACGTGGAAGCTTGTTTCCTGATCTTTTGGGTTGGGACAGGTTCGCGGAGGTCCGTCAAACACGCCCGTGAAGTAGGGTGCCCTACGGTAACCACAAGATATTTTGCATAACAGACTTTCTAAAGCCAACGCACAGACTCGGTACTTTGTCACACGAAGCCAACCTTCGTAATTCCATTTGTCCCGAGGGTTAAGTTACTAATTAATCGTTCGTAAGCCCCAGACCCAAAGCTCTTCAGCATCCCAGCAACAACTGTAACATGAGATATTACCTTCGTAATCACACCTGGAACCGGTTCGGGTGAAACCTGCAAACTTACCAGCAGGAAGACCCTACCCACCCTCACGGGCAGGTACTGACGCCAGGAATCGAACCTGGGGTGAGAAAGAGTGGTCCATACCTCCTCTAACCAGCTTAACCATCCCGCCAAGTGATGCATGGATTGGGCATGATGAGGCTTTGGTTCAGGGAATCGGAAGGCGATCCACCCTTGCTGGACAGATCTTCGACGCCTAGTAGACTACGAGAAAGTGCGACCACAGCCATTCACTTCGGTACACTTCATCCTACAAGAAGGGTACAGATTTAAGAGAAAGAAGGGGAACAGCATCAGGGAGCGGTCTGCACTTGGTACTATACTCGGATGAGAAGCAGCAAAAAAACTGATCGGCGTGTTGGTGTCCCGCCCATGGAGGGAGATGTGGAGGTGGTGGGAAACCCAGGACCGTCCGACGTTTTTGACCCAGGATTTGGCTGTTAAGGCTTTGCTACGCACACGCAGCACGTGTGAAAGTGACTGTTTACACATCTTACGAAGAAGACACCCACCCAACCATAAACCTTGACCGAACCCAGCTCCGAACTTTATGTCCTGCGTACGAGCGATCATTCTTTATTCCGGCGTCCGTTCCGCACTTTCCGCAACTCAGCTGGAGCGCTGGAGCTGGCGACATCACCAGCAGCAAAACACGCTTTGGAGGTCACGAGGTCACAAAAAGGATGCACTTCTCTTGTGGCGCCTGCTACTTTAGTAGACTATGAGCAAACAAAGGAGCGCAACCCCAGAGGAAAGGTATCAAATCATGGCTGCAGATCCCGTACTGCAAATGAAGCAGCAGCAAAACGCTACTTCGGAACAAACAATGGTCACTTCTCAAGAGGCAGAAATAGAGGGTATGATAACTGATAACCAACATCCCATTCTCTGTGGTTTGACTGATGCCGTCAACACCACTAGAGATGGCATCAGCCATGAACCAAAAGCACAGCCAGGATCTGACAACCATATATATTTCAGCCCCATGCCTCAACCGCTCCCATCAGAGCCAGACCGATTTCTTCGACCTGATCTACTAGTAAATCCAGTTGGAGCCATAGCGGTGGACGGGCCATTTGGTGCCTCGATCGACACGGGTCACCGTCACGAACAGCAACGGGACGAAGAAGACCCAGCCGAGACGGAGGAATTGGCCGTGGCCAATCTGGTTGCAGAGGACAATGGTCTTTTGCCCACCGCCATGCCCCAAAACACGGAAGCCACCAGAAAGAGGCAACAAAAGACAAAGCAAATCAAAACCAACATTCTTCTCGTGGTTATTGCTCTACTGGCTCTCACCATCGTCTTGTTGGCTATTTTGATTCCCGAAAAAGAATCGTCTAAACTTACAGACGACACTGTTCCAACAACTCCAACGGACTTGCCCAGCAGCAACCCAACCCAGGCGCCAACCTTAGTTTCGGATTACTTCATATCCCTCCTGGGAGAAGCAACATCTGAACTCATTATGGCCACTCCAGGCTCTGCCCAATCAAAGGCATGGCAGTGGCTCTTGGAAGATGCTCAGCAGCAGCAGCCATCTCTGCCTATAGAACGGCTTGTGCAGAGGTTTGCCCTTGCTGCTTTATTCTATGCCACTGCCGGTGATAACTGGTACAACAATACCAACTGGCTCAACCACAACATCAGTGAATGTGACTGGTTCAACCAGCCTGAGTTTGGTCGGGTGACTATTATGAGACAGTTTTTCGGAAATGGTTACCTGCAAGGATTCTTCCCGGCAGACGCACAGCCATCAATCTGTGGGAATGATGGTCTTTATCAGCACCTCTGGTTGGATCGGAACAATTTAGCTGGATCACTCCCAGATGAATTCTATCTCCTTACAACCCTCAAAACAGTGTCTCTTGCAAACAACCGTATACAGGGATTCATTTCCAGCCATGCTGGAAAGCTAGACCGGATGGAAGGGTTGTACCTCAACTTTATGGAGAATGCAGGTACTATACCTTCTGAGCTTGGTCTCCTGAACAATCTAAGGGTGCTTTCCTTGAATGGAAACAACCATATTGGCTCAATTCCTTCTGAACTTTGGCAGCTTTCCTCCCTTGACACTGTGATCATAGGTCAGAACCCGTCCTTGCGAGGCTCTATTCCAACGGGGATTAGCAATTTGCACAAGATGAGATGGTTCATGCCGAGTGGTTGTGCCTTGACGGGAACAATCCCTTCCCACATTGGCGAAGCCACCTCCCTGGAATGGCTTACTTTAGATGCCAACAGGCTTACTGGAACCCTACCAAACGAAGTACAACAACTCACCCAGATGCAGTATCTTTCACTGTTTGAGAATGATTTAGAAGGAACAATCCCCCCTGGGTTGGGGAAACTGACAGGACTCTTTCTTTTGTCTATGAATGACAACCAGCTGGCTGGTCCTCTCCCAAGTGACTTGGGGCTTCTCGAGAAGAATCTCTCATTCACTCTCAATCTGATGAACAACCAACTGACTGGATCCATCCCTTCTGAGTTAGGGCTATTGTCTGAATTAAAGAATATGGATTTTTCCAACAACCTACTCTCAGGAAAGATCCCAACTGAGTTTGGCCAGCTTTCATCCTTGGGACAGATATCTTTGGCCAACAACTCGCTTTCTGGTGCAGTTCCTCAAGAACTGTCAGCTTTGCAGCAAGTCCTGAACTCCTTTTTACTGGAGGGCAACTCGGATTTATCTGGAACTATCCCTGAGGGTGTTTGTCATATCAATGGCACTTGCGTTGGACACCATCTAGACCCATATGAATGCAGACTCAATTCTGGCTTGTCGTTTGACTGCACTGGGATGCTTTGTGGCTGTGGTTGCATATGCTTAGATGGCTGACCAGCAAATAAATGATGGCTCTGTGCCAATCAAAGTATTCACATGGGGCTCCAGCGTTGGGCGCGGCATTGCCTTTTGCCTTGATAGTACCGGTACTATTAGAGCAGCATACGCAAACTACTACCGTACAGAAGCTTCTCAAGCAATTGTGAGGATATAAAGAAAGAGAGAGATCCTTGAGATCTTGTAGTGTTTCCTACCTACCAGTAGCCAACCTGTGTACCGAATGCATACGGCGACCGCATGACCACCCCATCTCCCGTGCAAGGAAACTTTCTGTCTGGTGTTGCCACATGACTAACAACTAGCTGGCTGGCTAGCTCTACATGTAGTGGCCAGGATAGCTGCCGTAGGCTACGAACATGCTAGACTATTCATTCGTCCGAGCGTATCTATCGTATCTGTACACGATCTCAGGCGTATCTATCTTATCTGTACACGATCAATGACTTCATTTGCCGCTCGAGCCTTTCATCACGTCAGCCTGGCAGCAGAAGTCGGTTTAAGCTTCCGAATTCTTTCGTGCTCATCCACAAAAGCATGTCTCGAATTCCACAAAAATGCTGCATTGGCAGCCGTGCGTTCGCTGTATCGCGTCCAATCGGAAATCGAATGATCCAGCGGAATATGTAGATGAGGTATAATTGTTTATTGATCACAATGCGCCAGTCCGGCCAATGGCTCAGTGATTTGAACATCTGACCCATAATGTTACCGGAGCTACCTGAACTCCGAACCTGGCATCAAGCGCGAACCCTCATTTTTCTGTGGGTGGTTGGCCTTCTCATGACAAACCAAAATTTACCACAGTTGACAGCAAGCTTGGAAGGTATTAGTAGATCTAAAGGTATTAAGTACATCTACCATTATCCAACAGCCAACAGAAGATAACAACACCAACATGTCTAAGGACGCCCCTGCCCCCAAGTATTATGAAGAGAGTGTGATAGCCTCTGCTGATGATCCAGGATCGCTGATTGCTGGAGTCATGCCATTGCGGCCCAACAAGCCCATTCCAGGAACTTCTGCGAGGGTGAAGCCCACCCCAGCGGCTTCGAACAACCACTTCTCCCCAAACAACAATACCAATGATTTTCCAGCCTCCATTGCCGCCGGTGGAGGTATGAATGAACCTTCGAATTTGGCCATGAGCGATCACGATAGGCAACCAAGTCTGAAAAAGCCACCGCCGAGCTACCCACCGCCTTCTTCTCCCACCAGCAACCGTCGTGCACCGACCAATCTGACAGAGGAAAACGATCGACGAGCCAAACAAAGTGCAGTCCGTCGTTCTTCCAAGATGACTCCCGATACGTTTCATTCACCCCCGTCGGATCCATTTAATGCACCCTCTTCACCCGGCGGCAACCGCAAACCATTTCCCAACGAAAAATTCGGACACGCAGACAATAATAATCACCACCACAACACCAGCGAAGAATTCCGAGTGCGACCTGCTGGATTACGAGCCAGTGACAACAAGAAGAAACCACCGCCGGGAGGACCGGCATTGGCGCCCGGTGCCGTGGCGGTTACCCAACAACAACAACAACAATGGAACAGTGATGATATCAGTGGGGCGCCGGCTCCGGCCATGCCCACCATGGACGAATCGGCCCACGAACGAGCGCAAGGAGATGTCTTGCGGAGTTTACCACAATTCGAAAGCAACAACAGCAACAACAGCAGTGGACGACGACCCCTTGACACGGTGCAACCCAAGTCGTATCAGAGCATTAGCACGATTACACCGGAACCACAACAACGAGTCTTGCCGCAAATTATCGATCGCACGGCCGAACCCAGCGTTATTGGCGGCGATCCCGACGAAGAATGGGGACAAGCGGCGCCTGCTCCGGTAGTACCTCCACAACAACATCCCCATAATCCCAATATCGATTCGGTGGATCGTCTGCAACGCGAGGGTGATCCCTGGAGCAGCGATGTCGATCCGGATAATAACAACAATTCAAAACAGGCTGGAAGGGCCCGTACGGACCGACGGTATTACATCTTGTCGGCTGTGTTTTGTTTGCTCATTGCCGGAGGCATTGCCGCCGTTGTCATTGTCGTGGTCATGGGAAAATCGTCGGACGACCCAGCACCGGCACCCGTCGTGGAAACCACAGCTGCCCCGGTGCCTACACCCGAAACGGCAGGTATGGATTTTGGTGGCGGTGCCGATACTACCGGAACCGATATGGATCAAGTGGCGGGAGTGGATGCTACCATGGTGCCTACGGAAATGGGCACGGAAGAAGCAACGACTATTACGGATGAAGATGAAGTGGAGGAATTAATGACGACGACCGCCTCTCCCACTTCCAGCGCTATTATTACGACGGCACCTGTCGGTGTCTGTACCCCAACAATTGGCAATACCGATGAAGCGTGCTTCCCGCTGTTGCAGTCCATCGATGTAGTCTGCGATTGCTACCAGTTTTGCGATGGCCTGGTTGTAGGCTGTATCGGGTTTGATGAACAAACTTCCTTTAGTTGTGCTGGAGCGATTGTGGCTGGGTGTACTATTGATCAAAACGGTACCAGTCCTGTCACAGCTGCTGGAGGAGTGACGGCGGAACCCACTTTGCCTCCAACGGTGGCTGCCACGTTCGCCTTGACTACGACTAGGCCAATGCCACAAACAGATGCGCCTACACCAGGGCTGACCCCACAAACAGATGCGCCTACGCTGGGGCAGACTCCGCAAACAGCAGCGCCGACGTCAAGGCCCATCCCACAAACGGTAGCGCCGACGTCGCCTCCTCAACCAGCGCCAGTGGCAATGACACTTGAACCAACCTTGGGAACTGCTTCGCCCACAGTTCAGACAGCATCACCCACAGTAACGGCGACAACTGCGGCTCCCACAGTGTCACCTACAATCAGTACAGCATCACCGACGGCTCGTCCTACCGCCGAACCTACACTCGATATTACCGTTGCGGGAACGACAATGCCCCCCTCTTCGGATCCATTCATTTCCATTCCGGTGGGAGGAGGAACCACCATTGGGCTGCCGTTTCCACCCACAATCCCTCCTGGAACAACTCCCATTCCGACGTCGGGTTCTGGTTCGACACCAGGGGGGTTGGGCATTCCGCTGTCGACACCGCAACCCACAGCCGGCGGCACCACCTCTCAAGGGACGTTGGTGATTCCTGTTGCCACCCCTTAGTCGAAATGTTGCAGGTGGTGTTGTGTTGGGACTCTCTTTGTGGTTTCTGTTTTCTGGCTAGCTTCCTTGCTAGTATTTACCAAAGAGTATTATGTTAGTAGTGGATCGATTGTGTCGTGTACTGTACTGTACCGTACTCCATTGGTGTACATGTACGCTGTAGTCTAAAATAACTTTAGGAACTAGCTAGTGGCTGGCTTGCCCCAAGCGGCTCCATGTTTCAGATTTGCCTCCAAAAACGATCAGGAAGGCAGTACAGTACATACATACGTACATGTATGTTATCCGGATAGATACCGGTAGACGTGATCATGCATGTACATGTACTTGTACCTGTATGCCTGTATGCATAACTCCGTCTTGGCTAAACATGCATCTGACTGACCCCAGGGGCTCCAAGGGACTGCTGCAAAGCCCGTTCCTCACAACTCCGCATGTTTAAAAAAAACAGCGTACAATCTTACATCGATCATGCATCTGTAGAAACTGTGATACCGTACACGGTACGTAGCGGCACAAGGTACCAGTACCGGTCAGACTTGCATCGCGGATATACACAGAAGATTTCACAGATGTGAGCCAACCACTGCCTGTTTAGTAGGAACCGAAGCGGGCGGCGGTATCAGTATCACAGCCAGTATCCAACCACCCAACACGGTAGCACAGATTGCCGAGCAACGGGCTACCAAAGTAGTATTCGTTGTCGCAGATAGACGCGGTAGGATCTAACCGGGCCCGGGTTGACTATGCCGATGCGGATTTGCTCCCTGAGAGTTTCACTTTCAAAGCTTCATAATTTTCACTTCCACTACCATAGTTTCCAACTACACAAAGCCTCCCTTAATAATGGACCTCCTTCAAAGCATCCTGAATGATTGGGATAGCCATAACTTTCTGCAACACGGCTTGAAAGATTGGGAAAGTCTTGCTCATGATGCAGTTGTATTGAAGGTGACTGCCCTCATCATCTCAACCGTTGTCTTTGCCTACCTTTTCTATGGCAAAAAGCACAACAAGGACAACAAATCTGCCCCAAAAGCACCTTGGGTTTTCTGGTCATGGGTCATTCCATTCCTTCCTATGGTACAAATGGGCATGGATCATCGGAAGTATTTCAAAGAGTGGCAGCAGAAGTATGGTAAAGCATATCGCTTCCGTCTGGGACCCCATATGATGCCAACAACGTGCATCCATGACAACTCCTTTTCTGCAATGACTGGCCGTTATCCTGATATCTATAAAATGTACGATGCTGTAAAAGATTCTGGACTCACCATCTTTCTTCGACGTACAGACAAGATGACAGGAAAGGCTGTGATGGAGGAACTTGGCACGATTCTCCACAGCAAAGTTGTCTCGCTCTGGCAAGATCAAAATTACTTGGAGGTATACTGTACTCGCCTGGTGAACGAATTCAGCCGCTTCCTTTCCAATGATGCCTTCTTTACATGCTCCGACAACTGTGAATGGAAGACTGCACATGTGAATGACATGATGCATCGGATGATGTTCATTGCTACAACTCGTGGCATATTGGGGAATTATGACCAACGTCTTGAATCTGACGAGATGTATAGTATGTGGTGGAACTTTGACAGCATGGTACCATTGCTTGCAATTGCGGGACAGTTTGAATTTCTGTTCCGGAGCACGCGTAAAGGCCAAGATGAATTTGCGCGCTATCTCAGGAGTCTTCCTGTTGAGGATCAGACTGACTTCTTCAAGGCACTTACAGCAGGCCTTCCTATGACCACATCAACAGACTTGCTATTCCTTTTCAATCATGTGTCACATGCAAATACAGGCCCCGCCATCTTTTGGATTATGTTTAGGCTCCTTCGTGACAAGAAAGAACGGGAGGAGGTTTTGGCAGAGCTTCATGACATTCTCGGGGAAGAACAAGGCTGGAGCCCAAGTTCCTCAGATGCTCCTGAGATCAATTATTCTGTGGTGAAGAAGCTCAAGCAACTGAAGTCCTACATCAAAGATGTGCTCCGGCTTTATTCTGGTGCCTGGTTGCTCCGTAGAGTTATGGAAGACCAGACTGTCACGCTTGAGAATGGTGAACAGATATTTCTCCCCAAGGGGGAAAACATTGTCTGTGTAAACCCACATTTCGATGAAGCCATGTTCCCAGAACCTCATCGTGCCAAGACTTCACGCTTTCTTCCCAATGCTCGGATCAAAGATGCCCAAGGTAAAGATGTCAAATTGCCCACAATGACATTTGGTCATGGGACACACAAATGTCCTGGAGAGAATGGTGCCTATGTGGTGCTTGCGACCACTGTTGCATTCATGTTTTCGAGGTATGAGCTCGAGCTGATCAATCCATCCACCGAGGTCGAGCCACAACCAGACTATACCCGTGTTGCATTTGGTACAATGCCGCTGGACATGACGTTTCATGATCATGAAAGCCTTCAATTTCGCTTCCGATCCAAATACTGAACTCCCTGCCCAGCTCTCCAGAACACCTCGTCACCGCAGCAACCCAACGTCATCTCAAAAAGAAAAGATAATCAACACAAAGCGAGCCCAATGGGCCAAAAACTTCAGAAACAGATGCACAGTCCAACCAGACGCGTCAACACAACTTCTCCGCAGGCACCTTTTAGTCATATTAGTTTAGTAATCCTCGCGTAGCCAGCAACTAAGCCTTTTCGGAGAAAGCTATTGTCTCGTGTTGTCGGCCGTGCTGGCCAGGATCAGACCTGCTAGCTACAGCTGTTCCCGGCAGGTGGTAACATGTTGCTTTGAATGTGGATTAGACCATTCATCGTCCTTGGAGTTTCAAAAACTGCAAAGTAACTGTAAACTCCTTTTGGTTGGTTGGTCCGTCAATCCGCGATGTATGTACTACCCGGTGCGTGCACCAATAGACTGATGGTCTTGAACCAGTAGAGGAGCGTCCGGCATCATTCCAATGAGCCCTCTTGGGCACCGCGAAGTACAGCTAGTTTGGTGTGCTGTGGAGGAGGATAGATTGATCCAAAGCAGGCTTCTTTTTCCATCATGCCTGTCTTTGATGTTTCCATGTACGAGGTTCATGGCTTCAGGCTCCTTGCTATATGGCAACATGCTTCAAGGGGAGGGCAGCATCGAAGTGACAGCCAGCTTGTGCAGGAAGGGCTTGCAACTCCGAAGATAGACCCAATCCGTTCGCAGCATTCTTTTCCTTTTGACAATGGATTCTTGGCATGGCTACAAAGGATGGTTCGAGTACGATGGAAAGCACGAGAAGAAACTGGTAGCCTCTCCGTACTCCCTGGTAGCTCGAGGTAATGCAGATAGCTAGAGATATCACGTGAGATCTTTTGCGTTCAAACAGCAATACGGTAATAACGCTATGTTTTACGTAGACGTCATCATTCCACATTTTAGTGACGAGTGCATGAAGAAGTTGCTGTACCGGTATGCCATAGTATCTTTAAACCTGCGAGACCAGTATGGTCTGTTTGATCGGTCATCGGTATTCTATCATTCTCTCTAACTAATTAAGAGAGCCCTAGCTAGTATCCCATGAACGTTGTTATTGTACGACCATGTCGCCCAACATAGAAATCACCCCAAACCCCAAATGCACTACCGTAGGAAATAACACGAAGAGATGAATCCAATAGAAGGATCCATTCCTTTGTGCTTGTGTTGTCGTGTAGCCGCCCTTCATGGTTGATTGTTGCCTCTTCAATGACTCTACGAGGACAAGGCGCCTCCATATCAATCGACGTTGCAGCAGCTCGCCTATCTTGATATCCGTAGCGATCGACCGAAAAGGAGTCGACAATGGTATGCATCAGCAGTCAGCAGTATTAGGAGAATATAGTTTTCTCTTCTATTCTGATACTGCAGAAAACCAGTGACTGACTTACCTTTGCGCTTCAAAATTGACCAACTTGACTAGACTATCATGGGCCCAGAAAAGAAAAACCTCCCGAGCTGACAGGATTTCAATGAGGATGGCTTTCATTTCTGCACCGGAGACCCTCTGGTTGACTGAGGCTTGATAGCTGAAGTGCTGCAAGGATTCGATTCAGTTGTATCTATCGATCGGATGCGATAAAGAACTCCTCCTCGTTCCGGTATATCGGGTAGATCTACCTCCTCCGTCTCAGCACTCTTGTCGGTCCAGCTTGGATTTTTCTCCTGCAGACCATAGAAATTCAATGGAAGAGAAGTCTGTGGTGCGCCTTTAATAATAACACACCAACACTTCATAATAGGCTTACCTCGTCCTAACAGTAGTGGTAGCAAACAATTGATCGACGAGCGACTATCCACTGATGAAGCTGTCGATCGACGCCATTATCCACTGGAATTATCTGTCCGCGTTCTGCCAAAACAACACAATGAGGAGGATACATCACAATGAGGATGTTGGGCATGAATGAATCGAAGCTACAGTCAACACTCACTAAAGTTCCACCCCCCAGCATTAAGAAAAAATCGGAACTTAGCTGAATTACGGAACTTTAGATCTTTGGAGCCCCATATCGGCCCGTTCTTGGTCTTAGGACCCACTTGGGGTGGTTCCTGTCATACAGGCTGTATCGAAGCTATTGACGCAAACGCAAGCCCGCTCCCGGTAAGACATTCGAATGCGAACCGGAACGTCCTGGAACGTTCCGTGAAAAGACTTAGAGGACTCCTATAACCTCAACCTTAAACCTCAACTGACATCACTTGGATCGCGATCAATCCAAGCCACTCGTACACCTCTTCTTCTTTCATTATTTCGATACCTCTATCTTTACTCTCTATTGACTCTATCAAGATGATACTATAGCGGCTACTCCTCTTAACAAAGGCTACTACTCACCACCATGACAGGCTCCTCTTGTTTGGCTAGCGGCAGTAGCGGCCGATCGTCGTATCGACCGTTCGATCAATCGGCCGACGGATTCGGTGATGACTTCTTCCACGGAGCGACCATGACACCTCCTCTTCACGGAGCGATCATGACGCCTCCTCTTCACGGAGCGACCGACAACAACAACAAGCGGCTACGGTTAATGCAACAACAAGCGACAATGGCGCTGGAAGGATTGCTTCCGTTCGACGGATCGATGACTTATGACTGGCTCTTCCACTGGCTCTTCCACGGAGCGAACGAATGAACGACAAAGAAGACTTCCATATTGAATGGCTACTACTATGTATTATCTATTCTTATTCTCCCTCTCCTCCTTCTTCTTCATCCCTACCAAAGAAAGGAGTGGTATCTTCAGTATCAGCAACTTCATCCTCTTCCACAACAGCCTTCCTGGCCAGACAGATCTCCAACTCATTTTCAATGGAGCCCAAGCCTGTGTCCAAGTTTGATCTGTGGACAAGTCTCTCCTTCAGAATGGAAACCATGTCCACTTCTTCCGTCCTAGATACTTCCAAGCGGTCTTGAACAGTCTTTGGTTGACGTGCCTCTGCTTGCTTGATTCGATCATAGCCCAACCAATAGGCTTCAACAATCTCCCATTCCGCAGTTGTCTTGAAATTGCGACGAGTGACACTGGGACCAATCTGTGGCTTCTTTCTGCGTGTGCGCTTGGTGATATTCAAGCCGTGTTGTTTGATCTGAGCTTCGGTGGGCTTGTAATACTCCTTGGCGTATTTGTCAAGCTGATCCTTGAAGGACATTACGCTTCCTTCTTCCGGCACATGCATGACTTCGTTGTTGATCGACCGATATCCAAGCATGTACTTCCTGCACTTGCGGCGGAAACGCATGGTTCTTGCAGCATCATTCATGCGGAGAGGCAACCACGCTTCGACAGAATGAAGCATCATCAAGAAACGAGTTGTCATCTTTGGCAGCTGACGGACCAGGAATTGTTGTGGGCACTGAGCCGTCATCGTCGAGCTGAGAGCCGTTATCTTCGAGCTGAGAGACGTTATCTTTGGCTGGGGAGTCAGCAGCAAGAGCGTCTGTTTCTAAATCAACATTTCCCACGATAGTTTTTGACATCTGCCACGATGGACGGCGACTTGCGGTACCAACTGATGGACGGCGACGACGAACCGCAGCAGCACGGGGACTCCGGCGAACCTCAATACCACCGTTTACGGCTGTGGGCTCAAATGGTACGGGATTTGGTTTCGGGCTACCAGGACGATGGCTGTCGGTGCGAGTACGATGATGGTGCGCTACCGGTGTCTCTTCCTTGTTTTGCTTTTTCGCACGTGGCGGAGTCTGTGCCGTCTCTGGCTCTGGCTGTACATCTTGTGTCGACTTCCGCTTCTTACCGTCAGCATTTGGCGGTGGCGGTAGTTTCTGCTTTTGACGAGAAGATGCGGTCGGTTGCATGTGCGCTGGTAGCTGTTGCGGTTGCGGTAAGTCTTTGTTCTGATCGACTACAACGGTTGTTCCCCCCAAATTCCCCGTGCTAACAGTTGTGATGTTATTGTTAGGCGGTGCCTTTCCTTTTTGGTTATTGAGAGTTTCCCTCCGCTGCCGTCTCAAAGAGTCGAGTTTCTTATCTAAATCTCCAAGGCTGGAAGTCCTCTTCCTTGTTTGTCTCTTTCTATCCTCAAAGGATTTCATTGCCTTGAAGCCAGGGTGAGTGCCAACCTCAATTTCATGGGAGTTGCAGAGTATGTGCTGCCAATTCTCATCATCTTTGATGTCTGGAAGAGCAGGTGCTTTCTTGGATCTAGAGAGGAATATCAACCTTCTCCTCTTTTTCTTTACTCTGATGCCATTGAATTTGTATCCTTTTGATGTGGCATCCTGTGAGAATTGAAAAGGTTTGCTGATTTTGAATTCACCATTAATGAGCTTCTCCACAGCTCTTGACAATTCTCCTATGGCCACATCTTCTGACTGCACATCATATCTCCTACAGATGACTGCTTTGATGGCATCAAGGGTCAACCAACAGTTCTTGAAGGGAGAGACTTTGTCGTCATCGTCGGCATAAAGGATATCAAGCACAAATCCAGCCAGGAATTCTCTGCTGAGCTCCATGGCAAAGCTTGGAGATGGCCTATCCCGCTCAAGGAGAGTGCCTGTGAGTGTGTTGGGGAGCTAGTCCTCTGACCGGATAGGCTAGAACAATGTATTGGTTAAGCTAGAGACCATTTGGCCAACACTGTTGCCATGGTGGTAAAATTGATTTTTTCTTTGTTCTTTGTTATTCTTTGGTGCTCTGCTGTTTGGCGGCAAATCGCGAATGGCCACTTCCGGGTTCCCATTTCCGAAAACTGTAAAATAACCGTAAAATCGAATCGTGAAACGTGAAATGAATCTTCTCCGGAGTGCCAGTCCGTATTCTATTGTTGTTGGGGGGAAAAGGAGAGATAAGCGGTCTTGGGGTGGAACTGCTTTGCTCCTATGTATGGTGTCTGTATTGTGTTGGACCAGTAGAACATGCTATGTGGCTAGTTAGTTTCGAGCTCTCTAAGATGCCTGTCATGAAAGATAGATGAAGAAACTTCATATATGTATAAATGAACAATCTGAATGCTGGGTCCTAATTGGCAGCACTGTCTCAAACTGCCACAAAGCACATTCACTTGTCAGTCATGAGAACTAGTGACTCAGGGGGGGCAGCCCTGATAAAGAGGAACTTTGTAGAGTAATGGAACTTAATAAAACGGAACTTAAGTGAGTGTTGACTGTACTGTACGGCAACAACAACTACTGGAGCGATTTCGAATGCTGGAAACCTGAAAAAACGCCCCCAAAGTCTCAACCACCTCCGTCCCAGAGGT